AGAGGCTTTGGTAGCTGGAGGAATTAATGAGTTGGGTTTGAAACAGGACAGGTGTGAAGGGCAGCATGGGAGAAATCCTGAAAGGAGATATTTGTATTCTAGCAGATGGTTTGTTGCAGGTTACTTAGTGAGATTGTTGCAGGTTACTTTGTGAGAGTCTTCTGTGAGAGGCTTTTGCCTGATGTCTCTCCACGTTGCATAATTCCCACGGACCCCATTCCTCCAGGGAGCTGTGTGAGTCTCTGTGTCCTGGGCACTGTGTTTCTGATCCTTCCTTCTGTCTGCAGCACCTGGCACCTCTGCTTTCTGGGGCCTGTTTTCTGACCAGCTCGGTTCCTTTGTTCCTCCATTTTGCTTTTACTCATGAGCAAATGAGCCAGGTGAATATAACATCCAGAGAGCTTGGTCTCACAAAGTTTGAGGTCTGCTTTAAAAATTTTTTTCTTTGACAGGGAATTGTCTCTGTTCATCATCGCTTTGGCTTTGCCCCTCTCTTTCACAGTCTCCCTTGCTTGGCCTGTGAATGCCCAGCTGCCAGTTAACATGTTTTTCCCTGTTTCTGTCTGCATCTTCAGCTGGTTGTGAATCCTGAGTGAAGAGCAGCTGGGATCACATGCTCTGCATTTCAGAGAGCTTCTTCAGGACTGGCCAGTGGTTTGCAGTCATACTTGCCCATGGCCTGGACTAGCCCCCAGCTAAGCAGCATGATGGTAGAACAGTACTTGGATGGGAAACCTTCAAAGGAGTCCTGTGTGCTGCAAAATGGGAAGTTAGTGATTCAGCTGGAAGTGCTTTTTAGTAACGAATCCATGTCCCAGGCCAGGGCTGATGTCAACCCTGAGATTCCTGTTGGAAGTGAACAAAGATGCAAAGCTCTTTATGCAAGAGCTGAGGTGGTAATCCAGATCTCCTGGCCTCAGTCCATTTGGGGTAATTGCATTCTTCCTGGGTAATGTTTTCAACCCATCCCTGTCAGATATATTGCCATCGCTTCCTGTGCTGCTGCAGTATGTGGGTGGCAGTACTTCAGCCATGTCCAAAGCAATTCTTGTCACCGCTCAGGCTTAGTGCCTTTTGAGCTGTCACTGAAAGACAATGTGCTAGAGCAGGGACTTGGTGGAGGGTTCTCAATATATGTATGTTTACATATACACATGCTGCATTTACTGGGGCTTGTTCTGCTTATAAGCTCTCCAGAGCGATAGCCCTTGTGCCTAGCTGGTACAGTTTCTAGGAGGGACTTCTCCTGGGATGCCAGTGCAGGTGTTGTTAAGCACAAACTTTCTGGGTGCCCTCAGGACTGTTTTAAGGGCTGAAGCCCCAGGAGGGTAGTGTGGCCATGCCTCCCTGCACCAGGATGTGAGGACTGTGCTTCTGGGGCGCTGGCAGCCTGTCTGCTCGCAGTGCTCTGCTCCCCGGGACAGCAGCTCTGGTCACAGCTGGGCTGTGCTGTGGTGGTGCTGCAGGATGATTGCCTGTGTGGATGGTCAGGCTGGGGAGCAGGGTCTGCCTCACGGCAGCTTTTGCCCATCATGCCTGCAGCCAGGGGAAGGTCAGACCTTATCCTGGGGAGGCTGATACCATCCTGGTTTTCAGCAGCTGCTATGTACAAGGACCTAGCCCCACAAAGTGTGATCTCCAGTGGTCTGCAATTAAAGCACTGGGAGCCTGGGGAGGAGACTTAAACAACATCTTTGTGATGGTGTTGGCAGGCTTCTCGGAGATTTCTATTAAGCAATTGTCGTTTTCTCCCTTCCCTGTAGCCTGGGAAACGCTGCGGCATTGGATTTGTCTTGGTCTGTTTGGGTTGTTGGGAGGGGTGTCTCTCCAGCAGTGGAGTTTGTCCCTCCCTGCCCCAGCTCTGTGTCTCCATGGGGTGGCTTAGCAGGTGGCCTGTGGGGACCACAGCCAACGCCTGTTCTTGCAGATAAACCATATGCCAGTGCACCCACTCGAGTACAGCAAAGCCTGTGTGGTGGAGAAACCTACAGCTGTGTGGGTGGACAAGAACAAAGCCAAAGGCACAGAAAGGCCTTTATTTCCCACAGAAATCTGGGATGGGAGATCATGGATGTGACCTTAGCAGCTCTCTCTGGGGAACCATCTGGAGTCATGGAACTGGGGGTCTGGAACCCAAGAGAGAGTCATCGCTGCAGCTGGAGGGGCAGCCTCAGCACTGATAAAAGACGTGGTGGGGTCTTTGAGCTGGTGGAGTGCTTGGGGCCTCTCACTTCTGTGCATGGGCCATGAATTCACTTGGCTTGGATGAGCAGTTACTGCCCACACAGTGTTCCAGCAGAATCTGTGTGTGTGGACTTGTCTTTCCAGGTGACCCAAGACAGCCAGAACAAGCAATCTCAAGGCCACACTGCAAGGGCTGATAGCTGAGAGCTGCCTTTTCTGTCTGCTTCAGCCCTACACTGAGGTTAGCAACTTTCAAACGTCACTGACTTCCCTTCCCTCATAAGGGCTGTGTGAAAAACAGGGAACTCTGTGCTCTTTTCCCCTTGGCTCACAGGGATAACTCCGTAGAGTAGAGGTCACCCTGGTGAGGATCTCCCACAGCCGAGGTTTTTTGGGTGCTCCTGCATCCCACCTGGCTGTCAGCGTGGCAAAGGGAACCTGTCTGTGTGGAACCAGTGCTGCTAAGACTGTTGAACCCTGCACACAGTTGTCAGGAGCTGAAGGGTGGTGTGTTCTAAACCCTTGGCAACTTGCAGTCTGTGCTGTTTGCCACACTTGTCCTTCTGCATGCCAGCAGGATTGAATTGGCATTTTCCAGCATTTTCCAGTATTTTCCAGCTGCAGGTCTCTGCTGTCCTTCACCTGAACCCAGCTGAGACTTTACCCAGAGCTTATGGCAGATGTAATTGTTTTCTGTTAGAAGCATTTGGCTTTTCCCTGCATTTTCCCAGGATCTCGTAGCTTAGCTTTGGTGTGTGAAGCTCAGAGGAAGTGTTTCAGGAGGACCAGCAGTTTTTGTATTGCCACTGGCAAGGGATATTACCTGCTCTTGGAGCAGCCTGAGATGGCTGGGGGTTTCTTGCCCGGTCCATGGATGCTTGTGTGCCTGCCTAGAATCCAGCAGTGCTTGCCCCACCTGCACGGTGTGCTCTCACCTGGGAGGGAGACCTCATGAGGACTGTGCTTATGGGCAGGCCAAGCTGAACCCTTCTCTCACTCCAGAGCTTGGGTGTGATTTGGCCAGGAGAGATTATATGGGGAAGACATAGTTTAGCATGCATGGCTGCCCAGGCGCTGCAGCTCTTCCTTTGAAGTGGCTGCCAGGGAAGTTGGTACCAATCCAGAGGCAGCTGGAAACTGGGCCTCAAGCCATCTCATCCTTCAGCCTGGTGCTGAAGTGGTACCCACAGTGGGTGAGGCAGGGATAGATTTACCTGTGAAGGTGAAAGGAAGGAAGGAAAAATTCCTTGGCTCATGCCAGTGCTCTGTGCTGCAGATTACCAATCAGCAGTCAATGCAGGGACAGCAGAGCAGCCCCTTTATCCAGCTGGGTTGTGGCATTCACTAATACCTGTTCCCTGATGGGATTTTATATCTCTTTAGTGATGAGAGACATGGCAAAGACCAGAGAAAAGGCTTGCTCTCATTTCTGCTTTAGCTGCTTGTAGATCCCAGTCCAGTAAGTTGACAGCATACTCTCAGGGCTCCCCTGCCTTTTAACAAGGGGCATTTTAACACAGGGCTCACAACAGAATCATCAAAAGGCTTGGTTTGGAAGGGACCATGAAGATCACATTCCAACCCTCTTGCTGTGGGCCAGGGGAGCCACACACTATCCCAGGTTGCTCAGGGCCCCATCCAGCCTGTCCTTGAACTCTGCCAGGGAGGGGCATCCACAGCTCCTCTGAGCAACCTGTGCCAGTGGATCACACCCCTCTGGGATAGTATGGGATCCACTTTTCTCCCACCTCTCCTTGCTAGCCAAATAGCTTTGTTTCTTCATGGACAGCATATCTCCCATTTATGTATAAAGTAGCAGCTTTTCCTGTTGCTTGGCCACAGCATGAAGCTGTTCTCTGGTTTGTATACCACCTTACTCAGGTGGTATCAGTGAGGTTATATCTGGGCTGAATTAGAAATTTTGGCTCTGTTTAGTGCAGCTGGTGGTAGTCTGGAAACTGATACAGCTTGCAGACCCATGGACAGTATTGCAGTGCCTCTCTCTTGGAAATGGTATTTCCCTGTCTGGGAAACCTAACGCTGGGCAAAGTGGAGTTTATGTCTTCAACAGAAAGCAGTCAGCCTAATGTTTTCCAGCCTTCTCTTGGTGTGTGTAGGCTGCCCTTGCTCCAGAGTCTGACCAGCTGATGCAGCACTAGGTCGTCTTTCCACTGAAAACCACAAGAAAATGCTGCCTCCTCCTTCAGAACTGGGACTCTGGGTTCCTTGTGCGTATTGGCACTGGAGTTATGCAAGGAATCCCCTATTTACCCTACCATCTCTGTGCAAATAGATTGGGCATTCAAAGATCCATCCTGTTCATGGGAGTGTTGGGACAGCTGGATCCTTGCTCAGTTCTTGCTGCTCCCAAGAATGGAGCAGAGGATCATCTGCTGAGGCTATTTTAGGTTTCTGAATACTGCCAGTGTCCCTCTGAGCTCCTATTTGTGTGCAATCCTATGGCTTCCTGCTAAGATCTGTGTGACAATCCTGTATCCTCAAGTGTGAAGGTTTTGCTTGGGCATACTGTCCTCCCAGGGATTAGGAAGATCTTTGAATCCCTCACTTACCTCAATATCTAAGCCGTATCAGCTGTATCTATCACCTTTATTTCTAACCTTTAGCTCCAAACATCCCTTGGACCTTGCTTTGCAGATGACCATGTGTTGCCTTGTGGGAAGCAGGCTGCAGTTTTCCAATCTTTTCCTGCCAAATATGCAGCATCCTTCCTGTTTGCAGCAGTTGATTCCTGTTGTCTCAGATGGGAGCATGCATTGCTGAAAACAGTCTTCCGCAAAACCTCCAGGTATGGAAATACTCCAAAGCCCACAGCTGAGTAAGATGAGGTCCTGGCTCTGGCCACCTTTGTATGGCTGGATGGCTACTTGCCATCTGCCACCACCATCCTCCAGCCCTCCAGTGTGGCACAGGGTGAGGCCTCCTGGCCTCTCCCTTCTTGGTACACCCTAAACTTTTGGCTTCCCTGCACATTTTGGTTTCCACCTGCTCAGGTAATTTTTCAGCAGCGCTGAGCATTGCTAAGTTTCGAGTTGAGGCAAGATATGTCTCTGCAGTTTTGGCCCATCTTTATTTTTAGCTGTGTAAGGCATGGTTGATGGTATCAGAAGGAAGTTACATGGCCTCCGGAGCTCCATGACTCATCTTGGATCAGGACTGAGGCTTTGCTAGCTTCTGCTATAACCCTCAAGTGATGTAACTGGTTGTGGGAAAGAGCAGAACAGAGAGAGAAGCAGAGCTTTTAGAAGTTGGGGTGGGGTTTTTTCTGTTTGGTTGGTTTCTTTTGTTTTTGTTATTTTTTTTTGTTTGTTTGTTTTGCTTGTCTACAAAGTCACTGAATTTAAATGTTGAAGAATATTGACAGGTATCACTCCTGAGTGTGGTTAGGAGGGTCCTTTGTTTTTTTCCCTTGTGTCTTGTGTGAGAGAGATGAAAAGGAGAGGAACTCTGCTTACCACCCAGGCTAGGTAACTGCTTAGTGGCATGTAGCAATGATAGGGAGGAGTTTTTAGGGCAAGAAACAAAGCAGGATCCTGTCTCCAATTCAAGCCACAGTGAGGTTTGGTGCAGCATTACAAATCTGCCTGAAGTGGAAACTGTCTGGAACTGGAAAACAGTGGCTTAGGAGGTGCCTGCCAGCATGCAGCAAGAAGAGTCTGAGACCCCCATTCCCATCAGATCTGGTACTACTGCAATGTAGAAAGAGCCGCTGGGGCTTTCTGACCTGCAGGCAGCTGTGTTGGGCTGGACTGAACAGGGGCTGCATGTCCCTGCCATGGAGCAGGCCCTGTAGGGCAGGTGAGGATGTTGAGGCATCCCTGCCTGCCACAGCACAATGGAGATGCAGTTGAAAAGGCCTCTATTCCCCAAATCTGTCAGCGTGGCTCTCTTGTGAATATTCTTCCTTGAGAATAGATAAGGTGGGGTGTTATTCACCTAGGTCCAGAGTAGGGTCCTTGTCCCTGAGGTGGGCAGGGATGAGACTTGTGGGAGTGGGCTTCCACCTCTGGCCCCTTTCCTTCCTTGGTGAAGGTTCTGCCTTTTAGGGGTATGTTGAGGCTTTGGGATGTTTTATATGTGGGGCAGCAGGGAGAGGACAAGCAAGGGGGAACACAGATAGGGGAGCATGCTGGAGGGTATTGCTGTGGCAGCTTGTCACTGACAAGGCAGAAGAGCAGTTGGGCAAATGTGCAAGGTGCCATAGCCCTGAGTGCAGCCCAGTCTCAGCTGTGCTATGGACTTGGCATCCCTGGACTACTGTCTGACAATTTGGCATCTGGAGCTGTTCTCCTCTGGCAGCAGCCTCAGGATGAGTGGCCAAAGGTGTTTTGTCCATCTTTTCTCCTCTTTTCCCCCTTGCTACAATGTGGGCAGGCAGCTCCCCTTTACAGACCTGTTTGGTTTGAAGCCCTGAGCTGCAGAGCAGGCCTGGCCAGGAGCAAACCAGTCTCTTGATCCCTCTCACTGTACCATGGGAGAAAGCAAGTCATTCCACTGCCCTTGCTTATCCCCAGTTAATCAATTTAAGTGGCTCCAGCCATGACTGCACCTTCCCAGGATGCCTGGCCCTGTGCTGTGCTGTTCCATGCACCTTGCACAGCCAGTTTGCTTTGCTCCAGGGTATCTGGACTTTGAGGGAGAGCAGACGCTCTTGTGACCCCTCTCATATGGTCTGAGACCATCCTCTGGGGCTGGTAAAGAAGAAGTTAAACATTTTTGAAGCTGTCTTTGGGTAGAGCCCTTACCAGATACTTGTAAGAAAGCTGGCTTCTGTTGGTGAAGGGGACATCATGCACTCACTAGCAGAGGGTATGGGTCAGGAAGCCATCTCCAGCCTGGCCATAATGTGAGTGTGACTGAGACCTGACCTGTCATCCATGATATGCCTAAGGGCCTGGATGTAAGCCAGGAAAAAGGACCTGCTGGCAGCAAGCACAGCTTGCTCGTGTCAACATGGATGGCTGTGTGAGCTGTAAACCTCTCTCATTACACCTCTCAAAGGTCACTGCTGGCAGCAAGCTACAATGCCCTGCCCACAGCTCTGTGCTCTGTGCCCAGAATGAGAGGAGAACAATGTTCTTGGAGATGTATGGAGGTTAGTTGTGTGGGTTTGCCATGGGGTGCCACATGTTGCTCTAGTGCCTGTGGCCAGATTCAGTCTGGGACTAGAGTGTTCAGTCAAAAATGGATGGGAAAGGATGCCTGTCTCTGAGCTGTCCAAATAGCTCTACACTCACAAATGTCATAATCCTTGCCTGAGCTGTAACTCCTCCTTTCAAGGGTACAAGGCTTCATGTATTTAATGAAAAACATTTCACCCTTTCCAAAATGCCCTAGTGCCCTTCTGTGATGTAGGGTTACTGTAAGATCTGCAAGGACTGCCCATTTCTGTTCAGTTCTGCAGTTTCAGTCATCTTAAAACTCCCTAATAGTCTAGACTTGTTTGCACAATGTTCCCTGGACTCGAGACCCTGGTGTTCCCAAGGGAGAGCAAACAAGGAGGTGGAAGCTGGAATATGGAGGCTCTGGGAAAAGCTGCCTGTGGCAGACAGCTGTCTGCTTCCTTCCTCTCACTTCCAACAGGTTTCTTCCGCTTTCAGAGATTAACAGCTTGCTCTGCACTGGGAGCTGGAGCTCCCTTCCCGTGGAGGAATCTGGGATGCTGGTACCTGACACTGAAGGCAGTTTTGAGTCAGCAGCTTGAGCACTCTTTTCCATATATGTGACCTTCAGCACTTGGTGCGAGAGCTGGTGTTACATTATATTATGGGTGCAGGTGATGGCAGAACATGGTAAAAGTCCATTGAGCCACCTTGTAGTTCCTCCTGATCCCACTTACACAGCCAGTGGTTTCTCATCTTTCTCCTGGACTGAGGCCCCAAAATGTGATATGAAATATGGAGTGATGCAGCAGAGGAGGCTCTGGGTCATACGTGTGTGTTGGGATGGGAATTGCCATTTTCTAGGGCAGAGAATGTTTTCTCTTTTATCCTTTGTAAAACACCTTGCCTGCCAAGATTGCTGCCCAAGGCTCAATCTCTGCGGTGCTGTGACCCCATGAGTTACAACCATGTCATCTTTGAAGTGCTGCCCCCTCTTTTTCTGCCTTACCTGTTCATATTGCACGGTTTTAAGCACAAAGGACCAAAAAAAGCCCAAAGGTAGTGGGATCATATACTCTGCTGCCGATTTGGGGAGGAGTTAAGATAGACAGTGGGAGAGGCAGCCAAAAGAGATTTCCTCCTGGTTGAGCCATGGTGTTGAAGCTGGGAGAGTACTGTGTGGGTTACTTGCTACTTTGCTTTGCCTCTGCCATTGTCTGAGGCAAGTCCAGGACGTGCATGCCTACCTGTAATCAGGTGGGGACACCATCCTAAGCAGTGTCACTCTGAAAAATTTGACAGTGCTCTGTGGGACATCAGGACCAACCTGAATGCTGCTGCTGTGGGAAGAGTGGTGGGGATTTCAGCAGAGAGGTGATAGATCAGTGGGACCAAGTGGAAACTTGGACTCCATGGGTGTTTCTACCTGCATTCCTTAAATTGTGAGAACGTAGCTTAGTCCATCTGTGCTGTACAGATTGTCTGGAAGATGTAGGAGGAATGGTTTGCAAGAGCCAATTCAGCTCCAGTCAGGCCAGGAGAAAATGCCTGGATGCCATGTACCAGGGTTTGCTTATTGCCAGTCAGCGCTGCTGGAGCTGTCAGGCCAGCACTGCCACTCAGCCCTTTCTATACCAGTGTTTGCATTGCTGATGAGATTAGCATAGCTGGGCCAGCAGTGGACAAAGGGCGTAATTCTCAAGATCCTCTCTGCTGTGGCTGCCAGCAAAATAAAGCAGTTATGGCATCAAGTAGGAGTCTGAGCTTTGTTTTCAATTAATCTTTTAACAGCAGCAAAAGCTAAAAATATAAGCTGTTTCTGAGGAGCTAGAATATTCTCAGTCTTTTTCATCTAGGTCTGGTCTGCTGACCTCTTTCCTAGGCTGATAGCCTGGGATCTTAAGGTATTTGCAATGATCTGTTCTGACCATGTGATAAATCTGGAGAGAGAGAACAGAAAAATATGTGGCATCAGTCTTCCACCGTGAAAGTGCTCCTCTTGCTGCTGTGCCTGTTCCTTGTAACCAAAGGCTGTTTTGTGTCTTAAGATTTGTTGAGGAAAGAGACAGCTCTTCTCTTTCTTCTGTGCAGCAGCTTCCCTGGCAGCTCAGTAGGAATGATTTATTACAGATTTCAGCTGTTTAATTCTGTTTCCCTACAATATGACAGAGTTGGAGTAACTGAGCAAAATGCAGTGATGTTTCCGGAGGAAGGCTGCTATCAGAGGCCACCCCTGTAGCAGAGGCTGCAAGCAAGGAGGAACAGTTTACCAGGAAATGCCTGTGTTCATGTACTGGGCACTTTTGGGAAGGAGAAGGCATCTCATCCTTAAAGCTTCCTCCCTACAGGACTACATTGCTGATGAAGCTGTTTGAGCAGCAGTGAGAATGCTGCCCTCCAGAGCCTGGGAAAGGTCTGACCAAAGTGGTGATCTGGGAAATTCTGTCCTTAAGTGAACCTTCAAGTGCTATTTTTGGAGTGTAGGTTTTCTCTTTTTTTTCTCTTGGTTTGTGGGTTGGGGGTTTTTAATTACATTTTGGTGGTGGTTTGGGCTTTTTTTGGTACTGAAAAGAAGAGGTATCGTTTGTGCCAATCCCTGTAAGGCAAGAGAGAATTTCTTTGGAGTGAGCTGGCCTGAAACTCGATACGTCTCTGATGTGTGTTAACAGAGAAATGAAAAGATAGTACCATAAAGTGATAGGGGATAATGAATTTCATCTAGTATTATGTTGTCCTGGGAGATAGAGCTGGGGCAAGGGTATTGCAATAATGTTATGCTTTACATGACAATAACAACAAATACCACCTTAACACACTTCCCCGGGGATGGGTGAAAGGGTCAGTTTTCAGAGTATCCCCAGGAAGGTGGATCGAGGCAATCAAGAAGACAGAAGCCTGGGAAAAGATGCCAGGAGACTTACAGATGAGCAGTGTGTAATAGCTGTGCATTTTTTGCAGCTTGAGTTCGGTTTTCCCATTCTTTGTCCCAGCTGAACTGAGCAATGCTGGGCTCTTAACCTCACTGCAATCTTGAGAAACATACTCAAGAAACCACGGCTTTATTAACATTCATGAGATGTCTGACCCAGAGCTTGAGCGAACAAATCTTTAACTTACCTGTCTACAAGGCAGATAGATGAGTGCTGGTTTGTTAATGCACCAGTCAGGTATCTTAAAGAGTTCTGCTGTGGGTGAACACTGCTGTAGACCTGGTCCTGGGAAGCTTTACTGGTTAGCAGGTCCTCAAAAGCGTTTCTGTGGGTGGATGATAAAAACAGAGAGCCTGAGGTCAGTACCTGGAAACTTACCAGCCCCTAGAGCTGGACCAGAGTATCAAGTCTTTACTCAAACACACGAATCTTTTAAGGTGAAGAATGCCATGACTTGTTCTCAGTGAAGCATCCAGTCCCCTAGCAGCCTGTTGAGACCTATGGCACTCTTCTGATTTATAATGTTCTCTCTGGGTTTTTAATTTAATTTTTTTTTTTTTCTGGGCTATGCTAAGTTACTGCATGTCCTGGTCCCCTTTGGTGGCAGAGAGCATGTGGGTCAGTTTGTGTAGCCCAGCAGAGCTGGGTGCAGTCCATATGGCCAGCAGCAGATTGGGGCCAGCTTCTGCTTTAAGAGAGATGGTAATAGAGGAGATTCACAATTGGGAAAGCTGCTTGATGTAGAATACGTGGGTACCTTTTAATCCCTCCCCATCACTGGGTTTCTCAGAGGTTTCAGTACCACTCTTGCTCTACTCCCATGCTGTGCCAAGGGCTGGGGGCTGCCCACCCACTCTCCTTCCATGGGGCAGGGCCAGCATGCTGTGACTCAGTTTCCCTGAAGCCTGAGGAGAAGGAAAGGGGTGTGGAGCAGGACCAGAAAGGGGTGGAGGGGAAGTTACAGCAGCTGGTAGGAAATGACATTTTTGGGTGCTGCAAGGTGGCCCTACCCCATCCTGTCTGCCGAGGTGGTATTTTGGGGTGCAGTAGTACAAGCTGGCTCTGTCTGCCATGGAACTGATGTTTCAGGATGTTGTTGGGCAGCTCTGTTCCAGCTGTAGAGCTGGCATTTTTGGCAGCCCTTGCTCCATACTGCTTTTTCCTCTGCCAGGGATCATGCTAGGAAGTGAGACCTGGCTGTACCTTCCATGTCCTCTGCATTCACACATTCAGGGTGCATAATTGCACGTAATACTCACAGTCCCATGGCACTGCTTCCCCAGTTTGTGACTTTGGGCTGCTGGTCAGGATATCAGTCTGAGCTTATCTCAGGATAGGCAAGAATCAGTGTGCAGGCTGTGTAGTAACAGCCTGGCATCCCTTACTGGCACTAATCTGCTCCTGATCATGGAACAATGGCTCTACCTGGGGGCAGGAGCAGAGGAGTCCAGACTGAAAATGGGGGTGCCCAGTCCCAGCTGTGTCCTCCCTCATCCCTATTCCTCTGTGTAACTCCAAATCTGCATGCATGGACAATGTTTTGTAATAAACCTGTTGAACTGAGGGCAGGCAGAGCAAAACCAAGAGCCCAAACCCTGCCTGTGCTGCTGCAGCAGTGTGAGGCACAGTAGTTTGTAATGATGATGAGCATGGCCAGAGACATCCCTCCCACCCTGTTGTGTGTATTTGATGCTTCCTTTGAGCTACCAGCAGATTGTCAGTACAGATCTTTTGTAAGTGGAGAGTAGGTCCAGCTTCCCATGGATGCTGCAAACTGCCTTGCTTCTGTAAAACTCTCTTCATTTGAGGCAGTGCCCTAAGGGTTAAGCCACAGTTGTGGGATAGGGTTTGTAACAGGAACAAAGAGGGCTTTTAAGGTCTGTGTTGGCCTAGGAATAGAGGGAATTGATTGAGCCTTTCCCAGTGTGTTGAATTACAAAGGTCATGGAGACCCTTTTGCTGGGAGGCAGCAGCCTTTGAGGTCCCTGCTGGAAGTGGGGCAGAGAGAAAAGAAATTGTGAAAGTCAGTGAGAGCAACTTAGTGGAGAGCTTTAAGAGCAGGTGAAAACTGGAACTGCGTCCTGGGGTAAATAATGAACACAAGGCTGGGTACCTTCTCCCTGTGATTTTTGGGTGGTTTGGTTTTGCTCCACCTCCTTCCCCTATTGCATTTACAGCTGCCCCACACATGGCACGTGAATTAGCAGCACCTTGGTGCACCAGAATTTGGGCCTCTCCAAATTCTGCCCCTGCTCAGGGCTGGTGAAGGCAGCAGAAGGTAAGAGGCAGTGCCTGTAAGGGAGGATCTTTCCAACATGCAGAAGAGGGCAGTCTCTGGTGCCTACAGGGACATTTTGCCATGACAGAAGAGGAAGCTTCTAGCTGGTTTCCAAGCCCCTCTTCTTAATGTTGCCTTCTCAGGGTGTCACTTGGGGCATAGCAGCAGAGGGTCCAGCAGAAGGAGCTAGGGAAGGGATGGATGCCAGAAACCACTGTTTCCCTTCCTGCAGCAGGATGAAAAGTGGAAACAGGTAGTTTCCATCTTGAGCTTTGGATGGCATGAGCCATCCAGCCAACACACCCAAGATGTGTATGGAAAAAGGTGGTTTAGTCCTTAAAACTTTAAGGTTTAAAGTGCCAGGTTAGCAGGCATTTGGCCGTTCAGCCCCATCCATTAGCACAGGCGTGCTCCCCGATCTGATCTTTTATTTAAAGTAATTCCACTTCTGATCCCTATGTTGGATCAGATCACCTTAGATGTGATTTTTGGGGCAAAGGACTGCTTGGGCTCTGCCTGGGAGATGAAAGCTGGTTCCAGGGAATATCCCATGAGGCTCTGCAGACACCACCCAAGTTAGCAGACTAGAGGCTTCTCTACTTTTTTAAGCACTAGAAGGGCAAGACTGTGGGAGGACAGAGCTGCATGAGGAACAGCATGTTTGGAGCTTGTTTTGGAGCTCTCAGAAACCAAAACATCTGTTCACCTTGGTAGCCAGCCTTCTTGGGATCATTCTCTGTGTGTCTGTCCCAGTAACCAGGAACTGTTTCAGCAGAAACATCAACTTCACAGACTCACTGCTGCTTAGTATTGTCTTTGAGAAGGCCTGAATTCTTTCATCTCTTATTGCTCCAAATCCTCTCTTCTCACCCTGTCCTTTGGCATCACCTGTGCTGCAGAAGCTTCCCACTAACAAACATAAAGGTGGATAATTGGGCTGCTAGTGCCCAGGTTGCTGACCTGGAATATGCTGTTTGAAGACAGCAAGGTCTACTCACTGTGTTTTGGGTAAACACTCTCCCACTCTTTTCAGCCACCTGGGCTGCAGAAGGGGAACATGAGGCACTTGAAAGGGTTCCCCTTGGTATGGGAGAGATGTCAGAATCAAGACAAGTTTGGCTGTCTGTGTTTTGCTTCTTCTCCCATCCCAGCTGGAGAGGGGTGTTGCAGATGGGATGTTACCCTTCTGTTAGTCACAAAGGAGGGTGTGGCAGAAAACTCAGTCTCAAAAGTCAGCCAGTTTAGCTCAAACTGGATCAGTCCCTGCTGCTTAACTGGATGTAGGGCAATCCTTCAGCTTCCCATGTGCTTGGAGACTGCGCCAGGGAGCTCACCATGTCCAGGAATGCATATAGGTTGTTGCTGCTGTCTTAGGGGCTCCCAGAGTTTGTAGACAAATCCATCTTTTCAGTGGTGGCAGGCTTATTTGAGCATGTCCATTTAAATTGCTGGGTCTGCCCTGCTGGTGGCTGCTGAGTTTCGTTCAGGAGCTTGCCCAGTTGCTGTGACCTTTGTGACACTGTGACCATGGTGTTGGCCCTGCTGACACATGGTGAGTCCTGTGAATCTCCCCCCTGGTTCACTAGGAGGGACCTGAAGTACTGGAGCATCCTGATGAGAGGAGGGGTGCTGTGCAGGAGCCCATAGGGATACCATGGGACAAAGACTTGTGTTACATTGTCCCGAGAGGAGAGAAGAGGTTCTGTGTATACGTAGTGAGGATCAAAAATTTAAAAGTCCAGGGAGAAGCAGCAGCTCTGGCATACAGCCCTAAGCTTTGGCAGAAAATCATTCTTTGTGTCTATTAATATGTGACATTCCAGCCCAAAGTGTTGTCCCTCGCTCCCTGGCCAAAATACAGTTTACTTTGGCCTTAACTCCTGCGTGTTAGGGCTTTCTGTCTAAGCTGGGGCTCCATGACCCTGCTGAAGACATAATGCTTGATTGACTTGTTCTCTTGCAGTATACTTGTCCTAAGTATCCTGTGTGTGGCTGCAGGCAAAATGCTGCAGCTGGCCAAGTGCTCCTGGGTGGAAGGGACCAGAACCCCTTGTCAGCATGATTCTGACCCATGTGATGGGGAAAGAGTGAGGGAAGAGCCTCCATGATGCCAGTAATTTTCTGTTGTAGTCAAGGGGAAATGGATCCTCTAGTTTTGACAGGTAGAGCCACAGGTCTGTAACCTGGTGTGCTGCATGGAGCAGCATGTCATGCTCACACCACAGCTCTCCTGTGCTGAGACACAGGTGAATGGGCAGAGTCCCTTGCTCTGCTGGCTGGGAGGTATGTGTCACAGCTGTGCAGTGCCATCTTCCTCTTGTCACCTTTGTCTGCTCTGGTCTCTCTGAGGAGATTGAGGTTGCCTGGACAGCCCTCAGAAGGGCTTAGCAGGTAGAGGCAGTGTGTGTGGCTTGGGAACAGGTCATGATGTGGAAAAGAGGGGAGGCAAAGCCTGTTTGAGCGTCAGCCCCAAGCATTAGGGAATTACCAGTCAGAAGAGCAGCCTGCAGAGGATCTGTGTGTACACAGATCATATGCCTGACTTGCACTGTCCACAGTCAGGAACTGGCCAAGCCTGTGGGCCCTACATGCCTTAGCTGATGCCAGTTGACTGTAGCCATGCTTAGAAGTCATTTTGTGTCTCCCAGGAATCTGTCAACCTTGGAGAGTAAAACCAGGAAGAGGCACAGCCTGGGGGGGCATGTCTGGCTGTACCCAAAGGCAGCTTAGCTGGCAGACGTCTTGCCTGTGGATCTGAGCTGTGGCAGTGTTGGGTAACCCTCCCACAGCCAGCAGGGTCAGGCTGATAAAGAGAATGGGTTTGCCTGGAAGGCAGCCTCGGAGTCTGGAGGAAGCCCTCCCCTAGCATTGCTCCTTATCTTGGCTGCACTCCCAGCCTGCCTCTGCCCCTTCTCCACACAATGGACTTGAGCTAGTGCTGTCACCTCTGCCCTCTGGGTGCTGCAGGGGTCAAGGGCACTGGCATTGCCAGGCCAGGCTCCCTGCCCAGTTTGTTGGCTTGCAGGGTCTGGGTCATTTCTCGTTTTGCTCACACACTCCCTTCGTGCATGGGGCTGTCACAGAAATTAGTCAGGAGGGAGTGAATCACAGAGGAATGAGTCAGTGGGAAGCAGAAGGAAGGTGCTTGTGCAGGACAGGGTTTTAAGGGAGCCCAAGGGTCTGGCAGCTTATGCTGAGTCCCTGGGAGATGGGCTGTGGATGCCAGAGGAGAACTGGGAAAGCTGAAGGGCTTAGTAAGTGGAGGCAATGCCTGTGCCTTGGGAACAGGACAGGATCTTAGCTACATGCTGAACTCCAGCCATGGGTACACTGCTGTCCTGGAAAGGCTTGGGGCATCTTTGGTGCTGAAGTTTTCCAAAAAAGAGCACTGCAAGGGAGCAGTGCAGGGAACAGGTATGCCTGCCTTCAGTGAATCAGGAGGATCTTCATCCCCACACAGGCGGTGGGGTGTCCAGCCAGCTCTAGGTAAGCTGAGCAAGTCTCTGTACTGGTCAGATCCTGCCCAGTTGTCTGAGAGAGCAGATGCAGGATGGTAAAATGTGTGATACTTGTTGGGGCAGAGAATGATAAAAAAATAGCTCTGGATTGAGTGAAGACAGCATGGAGGAAAAGCTGGGATGGACATAATACACTGGAGATTTGGGGACATGGGTGCTTCTTGACTCCAAAACCCCTTGTGTGACCTGGGCTCTGCTGCAGACCCTTGAAGGTATTGCAAGGCTGTTTCTCTCATCAAGGAACCTGCTCTGGACTGCTGGGTCTCCGTCTAGCACAGCTGGCCTCTGCTGAGTTGGACTGCTTATTGTCCTTCTCATCACTCCTGAGACAGGCCCCTCATGGGCATGGTGGAGGCAGCCTTGGTATCAGAGCTATAGCAGCACAACCGAAGCTCTCTGTGTCTGGGGCCAAACTTCTTGGAGCAGGTACTTGGGAATTCTGTCTTGGAATAATGTAGGTGTTTTGCAGCAGGCACTGGTATTACTACCAGCCAGAGTAAGGATCAGATACTTGAACAAAAGCAGCTCCTACTGATCTCAGGTTGAGATGAGTCTCTTTTTTCAACATCCCTAAGGTATGCAGGTGCAGGTACTCCTTGGTGGCACCCTTGGCTGGGCAGAATGGAGCCCAACAGGTTCCAACAGTCTCCAGAGATGAGTTGGAGCTCTGGCTTCTTGTGTGCTGCAGTGGGCAGAAGCTGAGAGTGGTAGGCTTGTGCAGCAGCAGGAGGGAAGGCAGTGAAGGGAGCTCTCACTGCTGCTGCAAGCTGTGGGTTTGCAGTGAAGCTGCAGCTTGGCTCCCTTGGGAGGTGCCCAGGAGCAGGATGAGAAGCAATGGGACACAAGGAAAATTCCAGTTAGACACTAGGAAAAATATTTCCCTGCAAGGCAATTAGAATCTGGAGTAGGGCCCAGAGGAAGGAGGCAGTTTCTACACTTGGTGACTTTGAGCTCCTGGCATGGGGCAAACTCCAAGCGATTTATTTGAACTTAGCCCTGCTGTTAGCATGACTGGACCCAAACCCTCTGAGGTCCCTTCTCACTGTTGTTCCTCAGTTCTGCAGTTCTCAGGTTGCTTGGCAATGTCACATCTCATGGACTGTTGGGTTGACCAGCTTGGAGGCACATAGAGGGCTCAGGGTCTTGTTCTGTCTGTCCCCTTGTCACTTGGACTTATCTGTATGGTATTAGCAGTGGTGGGAGATGGAGGCACTGCCTTTGGAGCATTGCTCAGCTCATTCACTTGCCCCAGCCTCTCTTAGCTGGAGCACCCATCTCTCTGTAATCTGTATTATTTCCTTTCCACATGAGCACAAGAAACCAGTGGGCAGTGAAACACAGGATGTAAAGCATCCTCCTTGCTTTGCTGGAAGAACAGAGCTGTGATGTGTCGGGGCTTGCTGGTGTTTTTGGAAGGCTCATGAGGATGCTGGACTCCAGTCCTCCAGATGCAAAATTTCTTTCCTGTGGTGCCTGTCCCAGAGATAGTGGTGGTTGGAAGGGAAGTTAGTGGTAGCTTTTTCAAAGGTTCCAGCTGCTTGACCATCCTCAGCAGATGGACGCTGAGATGAGCCCAAAGGAGTGTCTGGAAAGAATTATTTACTCACAGTACTTTCTGTTTCTTTGCCAGCCTTTTATTCTCATGGTTGTTCTTTTCCTGATCCTGTTCTTCTGCAAGGCTGGCTGCTGGCAATCTTATGAGCCTTGTCTTCAGGAACAACTTTGCTGTGTGATTTATTGTGTCTCGGAGCTTTGACCTGGTGTCTGATGTTGCAGAAGCCCATGTCTGGTGTGTAAGTGTTCAGAGGGTGTTTACAGTGTTTGGCCCATCCTGTCTGCAAGAGTAATGAACCAGAGCAAAGGGGTCTGCTTGTAGCCTTGGCTCCTGGGTTAAGCTGACCTGCAGCAGTAGCTACATCTGCTTTCTCATCTGGCAGAGGCTGGGTGGATGTTCAGGCTCCCTTTATGTGTGTTTTCAAGGTCTAGAACATTCTCATAAACCGTGTTAGTCCCCAATCCCTTCTAAAGTTGCTCCTTTCAGCTTTTCCTTTGGGCTTGTTTACACTGGCCTGCCATTGCTGTGCACTCTGCTCTCCCTTCCTAAGCAGTCCACACAAAACTCTCAATGCTGCTCTGAATGTGCTGGCTTTACTTGGATATCCCTGTTGAAGCATCCCCTACACTTTGGGAGCAGCAGGATCTGGTGGTTTGGGTTAAGAGGTCCCTGAGGTCTGTGTTCCCATCTGCCAGAGCAAGTGCTGTATGGCAGGGGATGAACTGGGTTCTGGTAGGCCATGGAGAGCTCTTAGGGCCCTCACAGGCTCTGCCTCCTTAGGAGGGTCAGGTCTAGAGGGACATCTGTGTCCTCAGGGCATGAATCAACCACCAGGTTGAAGATGTTTTGACTTAGCTGCCTCTGCTCTCTGTGGGACCCCAGGGGTGGTTTAGTCTGTGTGGACAAGGAGGTTTGCAGTTTCACGGGGTGTAAGAGGAGCTGGACTGTGTCTCCTGCTGCCCTTCATATGGACACACCTACAGTCCCTCTTACCCCATGTTTCCCTTCTTAAAGCCTTCTGCTCTCATGTGTTTGCCTTCATTATGGACAGCAGTGTGAATGTTTGCATTACAGTTGTGGCACCCTTTTCCTAAGTCCACTAGGGTGTTTCACCTTCAGTCCTACAGGAAAGAGAGGTTTTTGTTTTCTATGACAAGGTGCAGGACATTAAATTCGTGGTGGAAATACTCCTTCCCTGCAGTAGCCCTGATTGTGTCCATCTTCTTAAAATCAAAGATGGACAAAGCCTCACCCTTATGGCCCAAATACCTGCCCAGCACAGGTCATGTGCTAGACTGGCCTGTGCTAGACTTGAGCCTTACTAAATCGCAGCTGGAAAAGCATGAGTTGTATGGGTGTGCACAGCTGTGTGTGTGGTATCTCCTCCCCCTGTGCCACGTACATGTCTAGTACAGGGAGTGGAAAAGATGCTGAATGTCCCTACAGCTGCTGCAGCCTTATCTGCAGGCTGCAGCTTGGTAACCAAGCAGGAGGCCCGAGTGCCTGTGCTCAAGCACCTCCCTTGGAGGACTCTTACAGTAAAAGGAAGTGTATTGCAAGAGGGCTTGCGGTGGGGAGGGGCAGTTCCCACGGGGCAAATGCTGCAGTGCACAATCCTTGCTGCCCTCCCCATTGCAAGCCATTTGCTTACCCCCTCTTCCAATGTGTAGCTTTGACACCCGGAGCTGATCAGAGCAATTCAGCATCCCTGGGACTTCCTCCACTGCCCTGAAGTGCCTGGTGATTGTTTGGGGAGGTACGGAAAGGTGATGGTGCCGTGAGTCTGTCGGGTGTCAGGAACTCGTCAGGGGAGTGTGTGCAAGGAGCTGGTGGGGCTGTGGGTGTGTGGCAGTCGGGAATGGGAGGAACCTGGGGTAGGTTAAGGTGTGAACTGCAGCAATCAGGAGGCAACAGAGCACAGGTAAGAGCTAGGGGCTTGCCTTGGGGGCTCATGGAAACAGGACAGGGTCTGATGGTGGTTGAGGATGGGCTAGGATTGAAGAGGAGCACACTTGAAGAGATACAGAGCCCAGCTGCCATGTGAAGGATGTGGGGAAGGGGCAGTGTGCTGCATCTGGGTTTAGGCTACAGGGCATCACAGTACAGAAGGAGCTAGCTTGGTAAGCAGGCTTTGGAAGATGCCTGTGGTGACGCAGAAGAGATGGCAGAGCTGGGAGCAAGAGGGCTGCCATCACCTGCTGATTTCTGTGCTATCTTCTCCCAGCTTGCAAAACATCACCCTAGCACTGGAGCTCCCTATCAGAGGCTCTTGTTTCTGTACCTAGCTAATAGTACTGGAAAAGGGGCTGGGCTGTTCAGGTTGCATGTCCAGATCATGCTTCCCATGGTGCACAGCCCAGGACAGGGAGCTGACAGGATGGGAGTTGCTGTAACTTGTTTTACCACTGGAGTTGGGTTAAGCAGGTTCGTAGTATGCAGTTTGCACAGCTTCTGGCAGAGACACCAACTGCAGAGTGTTGTTCTTCCTCTTGGGAGATCAGATAAAATGGTGCTAAAATTTGTAGGTTGCTTAGAATGGTGAGGGCCTCATCCAGATTGGGTCTGGGGAATGCCTCCCTTGGACAAACATCCTTATTGAACTTGAAATGTGGCAGAGCATTGGTGCCCTGGTCATAGCCAGAGACCTTGGGTGTCATGCAAGTGCAGACCAGAAGTGGTCCCTGCCCTTGGCCAGATCCACTTGCCTTCTCCAAGCCATTCTATGACTGGCTGCACAGGCATATGACTTAGTAATCACATGGTGGAAAATTTTCCATTGGTTTCAGCTGGCATCGAGCTCTGGACTGGAACAGCCTGTCTGTGGGGTCATCAGTGACTGAGGTCCCATGGGCCTGTCCCTCGGGCCACCACCCCTGGAGAGAGACAGGAGGGCTGGAAGGGAGCTGGCTGACATGTCCCTGTGCCTAGGTGGCCAGGGGCTTGCTTTCACATTCTTTCTTGTCTCAAGGTGACTGCTGAGGCCACTGTGCTGCCCCAAGTCCAATGCCATGGGGCTCCCCAGGGCTTGCAGGTGCGGTGCTGGCTGCACCTTCCCCTGTGCAGCAGCTACCCCGAGGTGGAAAGACACAGCTTTTTATGATGTGGAGCCAGCACAGAGGAATTTGCTGCTTGTGGACAGCTGTTGTCCTGGGCCTGGCTCGTGTCCTCCAGCACTTCTCACCTAGCGCTGCCTATGGAAGGGGAATGGGGGCTTGCCCACCCTCGACTCCCTGTGCCAGGCAAGTGGGTGCCACCTCGGGCTAGTGGGGGTGAATAGCTGCGGTGGAGCCTAGCAGCATCCTGCTGCCTCTGCAGGGATCCTCTTGGGCAGCGGAGAGTTTTCCCCACCCCCAGCTCTGCCGCTGCCTCTTTGTTTTCTGGCAGAAGCCTCTGTGCCTTTTCATTGCCGTTGAGGCGCCGAGCAGGAGCGTACATGTGCCGCGTGTGCGTCTCGCCGGGAATGTGATGCGGGCTGGGAATCCTGCCGGGCCAGGCATCTCCCCTGCAGGGCAGCGGAGGCCAAACAGCAGCTTCAGGGGTCTCCTTCCCATGGACTGTTCCTCCGGTCGAGCAAGGCTTCGAGGCAGCTGGCCTCCCGCACAAAACCCTCTTTTGCATTGACAGCGCTTCTGCACCTTGCCACAAGTCGAGTAAGTTGGATGGGAAGGGGCCGGTCCTCAGCTGGGCACTCGGGCTCTCCGCTGTGGTCCCCCCTCGCTCCCGCTGGGAAGGCACCTGAGATTAAAGCAGCGCCAAAGGCTATGGAGCTGGATACAGCGGTGGCTGAGGATTGCTTGTGCTGCGCCTGCCTTTCCATGTATTTGATCTCTCGACTTCCAGCGGGGACTGAATTCCTGTGCTGAATTCTGGGCTCGGCTCTTGTGAAAGGATCCAATTATTTTAGAGCTTTGAGCATCTCCATTTGCTGCCCATATTTGCGGCGCGCTGGCTGGAATTCCAAGTGATTAACGTGGCTGTGACATCCCTCCTAGGGGTGTTATCTTTGCTCGCTGTCCCCCACCGCCCCCCTCTTCCTCCTCCGGCAGCAAGCGAGCAAGACAGGCAGGCAGAGACAAAGGTCTGTCCTCAACCTGGGCTGTCCTCCCCGTAAGCGGCTGCTGCATGGGATTTCCCTGCCCTGCCTGCTGCAGGTTTCCTGGGCTCCCGGTCGAACACTGGAGCTGGGCGGCCGTGGGCTGTAGAGGTTTGAACCTGCTGGGCTGGGTGGGCAGGGGGTGCTGCCGGCCTTGGAGAGCTGCCCGATTGTCCTGCCGGATTTTAAGCTGCTTTTCATTCTTTGCGCTTTCCTGGGAAGAGGGGCAGCCGTGCGTGGAGGGGAGGTTGGCGGGGAGGGGGTTGGACGTGGGGGAAAGCTTTGCACAGGTGGCTGTCGCATAGTGAGATCTGTCTGCAGACCCTGTAAACCCCCCCTTCCCAGCCACAGGCTATTGTCAGCATCGCCGTCTGCAAGCCAGGCACCTGGGAAAGGTGTGTGGAGGCGATCTGTACCAGGACAAGGGGCATCAGAGGGAGAAGGGGTAAGTCACTGGGCTGGGAGCTCTGCTCCGGCTCCCCCGGCTCCCAGGAGAGGTTTCATTGTGTTATCCTGACTTGGCCGAGCAGAAGGGCTCAGTCCCTGCAGCACCTGTGTGTGGTGCTAGGGCTGGGGAGGCACTGCATGTTGTTGGGCAGACCTCAGCCCTTGAGGAGGCTGCTGCAGCTTGGAGCCCCAGCAAGATGCACTGCAGAGAGGGCTGCTCTGTCCCTAGGGACTTGTGCACCTGGCCAGTGCTGCCTCCCATGGGATGGGAGGGAGCAGCAGCACCTCATGGACACGGTGCTGTGGGCACAGGGAGGTGTTGGGTCTAATCTCTTTCTGTGTCTGGTGGTTTCTAGGAGCTTACACTCATGACATGGGTGATACCTCTTGCCCCATCCTTCCGCTCTGGTGTCAGGCTTCCTCCTCACTACTAGCAGGGGTTAGCACTGAATGAGGCTCTGCAGCTGCATAAATCTGGCATGGCAGGAGGCCTCCTGAGGAGCCTTGAGAGCAACACTTGCCCTTGCAGTGGGACACGGAAACTCCCTTCCTATGTATCCTCTCCCTCTCCTTCTTTCTTCCTCTTGTTTCCACCAAGCGTGGGCTCCTTCCTCCCCAACCTGAATTCCAGGATAGTGCCTGAGCCATGGCCAGTGGTCATTTTTTCGCTTCAGGCACAGCTTGCTCCTCTAGCTTCTCCCTTGTCATCTCCCTGGGACTGCCACCTACAGTGCTGGAGTAGTCCCCAGCCTCATGTGTCTGTCTGTCTTCTGATGGTGAGATGCCTGATCTGTCAGACTGTGCAGGAACCCTTCTCTGGTGGCAGCATTGCTGTTAGTGTTGCCATCCTTCAGGGCTATGAGAGAAACTTTCTGCCTGCTGGCACTTCACAAGCTCTGCTCTTAGCCTGAGCCAGGGAGCTCCTGGGTTTGTGCTCATACTGCTTAGATTTCCTTCCTTCTCCTTGGGTTCAGGTAGGACCAATAGAGTTGTGATTTATCCTCTAGACAGTCTGTTTCCAGCAGTTTCTGTTGCCTCTTCTCTTGCCTTATACTCTGCTTGTTCTGAGGATGATTATTTTCCCTCTTGTAATGATGGCACTTCTTCCTGGCTGTTCAGGTTCATGCTTCATCCCCAGTGAGGCCACCAGTGTCTCTCCATAGCACTTCCTAGGAAAGGAAGCAGGAGAGAAGGCAGCAGCAAAAGCCACTTAGGGGTTGGTTTGGGGTTTATTGTGGTCTAAATAGTGCAAGGACCCCTTTTGGCCCTGACAACCACCAGGCTGGTGCTCTGTCCCAGGCAGCAGTGCCCAGGTCAAAGCCTCTTGTCTCCTGGCCATGTGTCCCTTTTGACTGTCTGGCAGTGCTGCCATGGAAAGCCACTGGATCCCCCCAGGACAAGTGTGGCAGCTTTGGGCCAGATCTTTCTCTCTCCCTTGCAGTGGTGCTGGGCTACCAGCCCTGCTAGGCTCCCAAGGGCTCTGCCTCATGACAGATAGCCTCCCTGCTCCACACTCATCCTGCTTCCTCTCTGGCTGGCACAGTACAGCCCGAACAGCAGCAGATCCTTTTGCAGGCTGCAGCCCGGCATGTGGTACCACTGCTGCATTGCCCAGCCAGGGACCCGTCCTCACCCACCATCCTGCTCTGTTGCCTCCAGACTGAGACCATGGTCTCTTAATCCTGGTTTCCCCCTGGATGTGCTAATAGGAATGGAACCACCAGGTAAGCCAAGTCCCCAACCCCTCCAGGCCTGGCTGTGTTATTCCACATCAGAATACAGTGTTTCTGCCCCAGTGCCTGGGACACGCTCACTCTCTGCAGGTCATTTGGCACTGGCTATTTCTTGGGTGTTGAAGCATGGTGCCCCTTCCCTAGACAAAAAAAACAGAGGAAAGCTGTGCCTGGCATAGCTCCACATCTAGGTGCTGGGAGATCTTGGCAAAAGCACAGGGCCCTGCCTGTTTTCTGGGCAATGAGGGGACCTTGGCAGGAGTAGGGCAGAGAGTGGAAGAGCTCTGTCTGGGCTTCCCTCAAGGGGCAAAGCTTTTGGAGTCCTATCTTAGAGCAGCAGCACAGACAGAAATGCTGTAACAAAAAAAAAACAGCGTCAGGTTAGCTTAGGAGGAGCCAAACCCTTGGTGTGGGCACATGGAGCCCCCCCATGTGCTGTTTCCAGAGGGATGGTACTTGTGCTGCTCAGCTGAGCTAGTGAAGGCCTGGACTTGGCTCTGTCCATCCATGTGGCCAGAATTAGGGCTTCTGGCTCAAGGAGAGAAGACAGAGGTGACCAGGTGGTTTCTCTCTGTGCGTGCTTGGAGTGCAGGAGGCCATGGTCCCAGGGTTGCTGTTCCCCTCTGTGGGGAGATGGTGGGCTCCCTTGCTGCTGTCAGAGTCTGAGCTCTGCTGTGAGCTGGATGGGCTGTCAGCAGGGAGGAGCTTGGCACTGCCAAGAGACCCTCCCTGGGATACAGCCCCTTGCATCTCAAGGAAGGTGAGAAGCAGAGCTACACCCCAGCTGTTCCCATCCCACACTGATGGGCATTCCTCCAGAAGGATGTTCAAGGAGATATTAGGGTGTACTTGGAGGCACTTTGGGTGATACTTTCCTGTCCCTGCCATGAGCCCATTATTTTCCAGCACAATGCTTCAAGCAACAGTATCTGGGCTGGGCAAAAAGTGGTGTAGCCCTGTGTTCTAGCCATGTGTTCTAGTGGCTGGTGCTGGCAGTGCCTGATGACTGGTGTTGAGAGCTCAGCTGGGATGGATTTGTGTGCTAGCAGGTCAGCTTGTCCTTATACATCCATTCTCCTGAAAGACAGCTGCTGCTGGGGAGAAAATGGCTGTGACTTCAGAGGGACATGGGGAAGAGAATGGAAGGTGAAACTGTGTGTTTGTTCTGGCATGGACACACTCTTTCTTCTCTGCATCAGGCTGATTCTTGCTGTTGGTTGCTGATTTTGCTTCCCAGTGGTTGATAGTGCCACACAAGTCATGGTACAAGTCTCCTTCAGATATGGAGGAGGGAAACAGGAACCTTCCAGGCAGGCAGAGCACAGCATGTTACTACTTCAGCATCCACCCACAGCTGAGAGCATTCACTTGCTTTCCTACCTGCTTTGGTGCAGGCCTCATGGGGTGCCAGGAAGAGCGGATCTTTCCAAAAAGCTTTTGTTTGGACCCAAGGTTTGTTACACTGCAGCACTGATTTCCCCTGCTGCAAATGGTCCTTGGGTGTGACTGACCTCAACAGGTCCTGTTCTGGCTGGTTGCTGGCAGTGCCCTCCCCAGCAGTGGTGGTGCCTTTTGAGCTGTTCAGCTCACGGGGACTGGTCATGGCCGCCTGTAATATCAAATCTTATTGGAAATGTAGAGAAAGAACAGCCTGTTTTCTGGGGCAGGAGAGGTCAGGCAGCAAGCACAGCTGATGCTGCCTTCCCATGTGCAAGTTGCAGGCATGCAGAATTTGCCAGACCAGGATGCCACTTCAGGGGATTGCACTTGAGTGTTGCTGCCTCTGAGCATCCATTTGGGGTTTTTGTTCATCTGCCTGGCCCTGCTGTTTCCAGCCTTCAGAGCAGTACTCACTGCTGGTTTGGGGTGCCCAGACAGTGACTGCCTGTTGGATGGGTGCTGCAGTGATCCCCCATTTAAGGGATGCATGAGGAGGGTGGTGAGGAGGGCATGATCCCCAGGGATAGGAACAATTTCCACCTTTAGCTGGAGGTGCCTGGGCTGGTGAAGCCCATGAGCTTCCTCTGCCACAGAGGTGCTGAGGGTGAAGCTGCCCAAGGCCCCTTGCACACTCTGAAGGTGTTGCACCATGAGCTGCTGCTTCAGCTGACTTTTCTCCACGCCTTCTTCCAGGCATCAAAGCTGCAGTGCCCATGGGTTGTGACCACAGGGGAGTTGTGTTGCATCTGCAAATCTCTGCTGTACATCAAGAGCACATCTGAACAGGTGAGTGCTGTGCACATGAAAGGATTGCTGTCTTTGTGCTGGGAAAATCTGGTGGGGGGCCATCATGGCTCAGGGCTGTCAGGCTCCTCATTTCTGCCTTCCCTGACAGGCATCTCTTAATGGAAGAAAACAATTCCAAGCTCTTCTCCTTATCTGTGGGGCTGGAAAGTGTCCTGTGCTGTGGGTGGAAGGGGGAGGAGGTGAACATGAGACCAGGAGCAAGCTGGAGGCCCAGAGCTTGCTGCAGTGTCTTGGAAAGCAAGGCATGAAATGGTTGCCAGAAAGAAAGAGGAATCTGTTCCTATGCATGGGGTTTCATACAGGAAAGCATGCAAAAGGGATGTAAAATCAAGCCAGGTATGACAGTTCATGGCTTAGCTTAAAATATTTGTGGTTTAAATGGAAATCAAGGTGTTAGCACTGCCTGAGGTGGGTGAGATGTATGTGGCCTTTGATTTGGGAGGTTGGGAAAGACTGAGCCTAAATGCTGCCTTCTCTGCCTGTCTGACCCTGCAGACAGGAAGCACCCTCCTACTCTTCTTCCAGGAAGCATCTGAATCACCCCAGCCCTGCATCCCCCCCTTTCCTTCCCCTCAGAGCCACTGTGGACACTGAAGAGCTGGAGAGGACATTGCGGAGGTTCGGAGGCACACCGTGATGGTGGGAGCCATTCCACGGCAGCCACGCCGCTTCTGGGGGGTGCCTGACTGGCAGGTGTCTTCAGCTAATTGTGCCAACGACCGCCTGCTGCAGGGCAGGGAGGTTAATCCGGAGCAAAGCAGGGTCCTGATGCAGAGGGGTAAGTGTGGGGAGCAGCCAGGACAGGCTGCAGTGTTGTGGGCCACACAGAGGGGTTGAGGTTAGCAGGGACATATGGAGGTTATCTGGAGTCCCACCTAGAGTCATTGCCCATGACTTTGTCCTGATGACTTCTGGATATCTCCAAGGATGAAGATTCCACAACCTCTGTAGGTAACTGGTTATAGTGCTCAGTCATGGTAAAACAAAATGGTTTTTCTGATATTCAGAGGGAACCTTTTATTTATATATCTAGATATCTAGATAAGATTTCACTGGGCTTCTCCAGGCTGAACAGTCCCAGCTCTCATAGCCTTTCCTCACAGGAAAGATGCTCCATTCCATTAATTTGTTTAGTGTCCCTCTTTTGCACTCTCTCAGATGTGTCCTCACCAGCGCTGAGCAGAGAGGGAGGATCAGTTCTCTCAACCTGCTGTTAATGCTGTGCCTGGTGCACTACTGTTCTTCTTTGCTGCAAGGGCACATTGCTGGCTCATTGGTGCCCACCAGGACCCCCAGGGCCTTTTCTGCTCTGCTGCTTTTCAGCCAGTCAGTCTCCAACACATCCTTGTTGCATGGTTATACATTTTATCGCTCCTTTTAAACAGACTCCCTGGTCTCAAGCACCCTGGCCTGCCATTTTCCCATCCACACCCCAGTAGGGTCAAAACAGCATAAAGAGAGCCTCACTCTCCACATAGCCTTGATCCACCTGGAGAACAAATTTCCCTGTTGCTCACTTGCCCCTAAGCCCTAGCTCCACAAGATCGGGCGCTGCTGCAAAGACAGGCAAAAGGCAGAGCTGCCAGGCACGGGCAGTTTGTCCTCAGTGTGCTGGTGACTTCCCCTGCATCTCCTCAGCTCTTGCAACCATTTCAGTATTTTTCATGCCTGAAATGAACCAACATGTGGACAGGATTCTCACAACTCTCAAACTGGACTAAAAATCAAAAGTGAGGCACCATGCTGCACAGAGAAGGGCAGGCCCTTGGAGCTGGCAGGAGTGGGTGGATGGTGACCCTGCTACTTCCCAGCTGCTGACTGAAACGCTGGAGATGCCTGGTCTAATCTGGCAGAGATAACAGGGATGTTAGGCCAGGTTCCTGTCCCCGCCATGGGGCTGGCACCAGCCCTGCCTCATTCACTGCACGTGGCCAGGACAGGTCGTCTTGGCCACTGAGAATGCTGCTGCTGTTGCCCAAAGGGATGATTACAGTTCTGAGCCCCTGGGACTGGTCTGACCTGCCTGACTCCTGAGCTCCACAACAGTACAAGCGTGTCCCTGGCAGAGGGCAGCCCTCTTCCTCCCCACCTGCCCAGACTTGTCCACAGGAGTCTCCAGTCTGTCTAGAGACTTCTCTCCTTGCCCAGACCAGGAAGGAAGTACTGAACCTGCAGGTGGGTGATGCCTCAGGGTTTCCCAGAAAGCCATATTAGCCTCTTTCTTCTTCCTGTCCCTGGAGAGGGAGGTTCAAGGGGGCTGTGTGAGGAGCCATGTCCCAGTGGGTCCCTTGTAGCCAGAAGCCTGGATGAGAATGGAGATACTGGACTGACACTCATCCATCCTTCTGCTCTTTTTTTTTTCCAGATGCTGTGCTGCAGAGCACCTCGTAGTAGAGGGCTCACACAGAGATCCTGAGTGAGAGAGGGCCCAGCTCACACCCCCTGCCCTTGCACCCTGACCTGTGGCACTTTACAGTCCCCCTCCTGCTGCTGCATGGGCTCCACTGGGAGTCCCAGCAAGTGAGGCTCCATGCGGCACATCCACACAGAGACGTGTCTGCCCCCGGAGCGCAGCACAGACCCCAGCCTGTCCCGGCCCAGCGGGGAGACACCCTTGGAGCCTTCCTCACAGTGCTGCACCCACCGCAGCATCCTCATGGGCTACAATGAGACAGAGATCAAGCGCCAGAAGGTGTACCAAGTGTCCATCTTCTCCCACCTCTCCAGCTCTTCTGAGAGCACGGAGCAGCGGGCAGGCACCCGGCCAGCTGTCAAGAGGGGATACCCCGAGCAACGAACTCTGGAGGGGGGTCGAGATCCAAAAAGAACTCACTGGGGTGACAAGGGGGTGGATGGGGGCCCTGGGCAGCCTTCCCTGGATGATGATGAAACCTTTGAGGATGGTCTGCTGGTGGAGGAGCTCTCCCTTTGTGGCTCTGCCCAGCACTTCTCCCACAGTGGGCTGCGGGTGGTGGAGCATCGCTGTGAGGGCAGCCCTAGCCACAGCCCCAAGGCCAGCAGGGAGGACAAGTTGCAGGATGTCTCCTCCTCCTCCTCCACCTCCTCCTCCACCTCCTCCTCCACCTCCTGCTCCACCT